GAGAGAGAGAGAGAGAGAGAGAGAGAGAGAGAGAGAGAGAGAGAGAGAGACTTAACATGAGTTTACTTCTGATCCTGAGGTGAATGAGAAACAGGCAGTCTTAGCCTCCCTAGCCCCAAGAACCAGAAGCACGTTGACTGAAAGCCAGCCACAAAGAGAGCATTTTCTATTTTCGCATATGTGAGGTAGGATGGGAGAAGAAGGAATTGACTAGAGGGGCATAAGGGGACATTCTAAGGATGATTGCAACATTTTTTTAAAAAGTCATGATTGGAATTTAGCTTGTACCAGTGTACACAGCTGTCACATAGGATTAGTATATTTCCCAGTATGTTGCTTTATTTTAAAAACAAAGCACTAAGCCATCATTGAGCTTCAGGTCCTCCATGTAAGTGATACTAGTATCTGCGACTTACTTTGAAATATATCAAAATGCTATTGGATAAAGGAGGGGCAAGGGAATGGAGGGATGGACAGGAAGGACACAGGAATAAATTGGTGATATCATGGAAGAAGTGGGTACATAAACAATCAGTCTTCAATTTCATCTTTCCTTTATGTTTGAAATTTGGGGAATGTAGAACTCGTTAACATCAATAAAAGGCTAGTAACTAACAACTCATAAAGTAGGGAAGACTTTGTGTACTTATAGATGCTATAGAATTCCACAGCATGGAAGAGCTCAGGAGCTGTTCCAGCAAATTCACTGAACACAGGAGGACACTAAGGCAGGCACCGAGAAGGAACTTTCTTGTGGCCACACAGCCAGGCTCAGGCAGGCAGGTTCTGTCACTCTTGGCTCTGTCATGTAGGTTGTAGGAAAGGATTTGGCGTCAGATTGAAACAGGGTACTAAATACGTTAAGAATTTCGGCCCTTTCTGTGTAACAATACACTGATACAAATTATAATCTCTGAGATCCACCCAAGCAGTTAGTTCAAGAACTAGTTTATACGGCTTGTAGACACCGGGTTTAGAAAAGAGAACGAAACAGTGCTTTATTTTAAGACACTTAATTAAAGTCTTTAGCTACTCATCTGTTTATTGCTGTATTCTAAAGTGGTTTTGTAACACCCGACTGCTTTGGCAGGGTGTAGAGAAACGCAGTTATTAACTACTATTAGAACCGTCTCACCAAGCAGTCACTGCACAGAGCTTCACCATGATCCCTGGGAGCTAAAGTTTCACACCCAACACTCTTCAAAGGCGAACGACTTCAGAAGATATGCAAACGAATCATTAAGAGCTATTATTAAATCCTTCTCAGGGCATCTGAGTCATCTAAAAGAAGATTTAGATTTGGTTTAATTTGAGGAGAAAATAAAGGGCTATGTAACATTATGTAACACAGGTATGTGTATATATATTAGTCTTTAAACAGTATTCCTGGTCCCAGATCAGGTTTCCCTGGGTATGGTCCTCCCATACCTTGAAGAGAGGCGAGTGCAGAGGTGTGCTGATCCTGTGGTCTGAGGAGTATGAGGAGGTGTTTACAACCATGTGTACTGGTTCATGCGTATAATTCCAGTACTTACTTAGGAAGCTGAGGCAGGAAATCAGGAGTTTTGAAGTTAATCTGGGCTACAGAGTGAAGCTCTGTCTTAAAGAAACATAAACTTGTCTTGGGGCCTGGGGAGACGTCTCAGTTACTAAAGTACCTGAAAGCATGCATACCTGCGTTTGATTCCCAGAATTCATATAGGAATTCAGGTGCCTAGGTGTGTACTTATATTACCAACACTGGATGGGAGTGGGGGACAGGTGGATCTCTGGAGTTCATTGGTAAGCCATTCTAGTCAAATCAATGACAGGCCATGTTCTAAAATATAAGGTAGAGAATAAATAAGGGCCAGCTTTGACACTGATCTCTGGCCTATGCACACTCCCTCTCTCACACACACACAAAAAGAGAAAGACAGACAGACACACAGAGAGACAGACAAACAGACAGACAGACAGACACAGAGTAGACAGACAGATATATACACACACACACATACACACACAAAGAGAGACAGACTCACACACACACACACACACAGAGAGACAGACAGACAGACTCAGAGAGAGAGAGAGAGAGAGAGAGAGAGAGAGAGAGAATTTGAACCTCCTCCTAGCTCTGTCAAGTGGTGGACTACCATGGACTGTTGGCCTCCTTCCAAAGATCTACCCTAGAAAAGCCGCGGGAGCAGATCCAAGCATACATCTAAAACATTACCGACCACATATCAAAGTGTAAGAACTCCCCGGGGAGAGAGAAGTCTGTTTAGAGAAGGGAGAGTGGGCCCTCGGAAGACGACTGGAAGGCAGAGTCCACAAAAAGGACAGGTCGAGGAAGGCCTTGAAATACCACCCTTGCCTCTTAACTGTCTGGCTTTGAATGGATCCATTGGAATGTGACAGCAAGTCTTCATTGCAGCTTTAATGTATGTAAGGTCACCTAGGAGATGGAGTCTTAATTCTCTGGGTGTCTGTGAAGGTGTTTCCAGAAGATTTAACCAGGGAAAAAAGACCTACCTTGATGATGGGCAATACTATCCCGGCATCTGGGGGCCCAGGTAAAACAGAATGGGGAGCAGGGAACAATCCGGTCCAGTGCCTTCTGTTTCCTGACCAGTCGTGAAGTGAAGAGCTCTTCCACCACACGCTCCTGTCTGCAGGACAGTGTATTCAAATGTGTGGGTGGGGCCGGGCAAAGGACTAAATCTTCTAAAACAGAATTCTTTCTTATCTCACCTCTGCAGGTGTTTTGTCAGTGGCAGGTAAGCAACCGATAGAGGCAGAGAGCTTCAGCACAGGGGACAGAGGTGGACAGAGGTCTGCCATGCCACCATTGCCGTGGGGTGACGGCAATGAAAGGACAGGACTGGCTGGCTGACACCTGCCATCCACCCATTCACTGTTCCTTACTCAGACTCCTAGGACAGCAACACACAGTGTAGACATCACTCCAGACAGGGTGGTGTCACACAAGGACAGTCTTTCCTTGGGTAAAGTGGCTTCTCGACAGAGCAAGTGCTGATTGGAACTTGTGAAGCAGTTGTGCCAAGTTTGTGAATAGACAGTTCACAAAGCTGGGCCACAAGGCTCATGCCGGTAGCCTCAGTCCTTGGGAAATTTATCTAGGAGAATGACAAGTTCAAAGCCTGCCTGGGCAACTTAGTGAGACCCTGTCTCAAAATAGAAAGAACTGTGCATAATGCTACACACCTGTGATCTCAGAACCTGAGAGGGCAAAGCAGGAGGGTTAGGAATTTAAAGGCTATGATGAACTTGAGGCCAGTCTAGGCTACACGAGGCCCTGTCTCAAAAACAAAACAAAACAAACAAACAAAAAAAAGAGTGAGCTATAAGCCTGTGGTAGAGAGTTGTCTAGCAGACATGAGGTCCTGGACTCCATCACCAGAAAGAAAAAGTGTGAAAGATGGGGAAAGAAAATAGAAGAAGTGAAGTATTGTAGTGAGACTGATATCAGGTAATATCAGGAAAAAGGCAAAGTCTAAATATTTCTAAGAGTTAGAAAGAAATTCCACAGGGGAATAGCAATCAATAAGAAACCAGATGTCCTAACAGCAATACTGAATTCAACAGACTCTTAATTATATGGAGAAGTACTTTGCATCTAGATTTTTTTTATAGCTGATTAAAATGTCTTTTAAGTGTGAGTGCGCAATAAAATTTTTCTTAGATAAACAGGTGCTCATATTTGCAACTCAGAGAGGGGCTGTTAAAAATGAAAATAAAAGCCAAATAGGTACATTGAGAAATAAAGGAGCTAGTAGCAACTCAGATGTTGTAGCAAGATCTACTGTCCAAAGATACCAATAAGGTAGATGAAGAGAGAGAAATAAAATAAAATGAAACCAAACCAATGTATTTGTCTTGTTAGTATAAAGATGATAACATGATAGAATGAAGAGAGATGGATGATAATAGATAAACAGAAGATAGATAGATAGATAGATAGATGATAGGTAAATAGGTAGGTAGTTACATAGATTATAGGTAGGTAGATTAATGTATAAGAGAAAAGAATTCATTCCCATACAGGCATACGAATATGAATATGGCTTAAGACTAATAACTGTGGAAATTAAGGTGTATAATATTCAACAAACAATATTATAGATCATTTAATTATATACAAGCAAGGAAATGAGAAATGAGAAGAAAATAGATTAGATGGGGAAAATTATAAAATATACATACTTATAAAATATAATTATTTATAACTATCTTGTACACAGTAGACATTTGATTGTCTCTTCATATTGAGAATATATGGTAAATATGGCCAGACACACATGTACATACATGCACACATATACATGCATAGACATAGCCATCCATATACATACAAACTTGCACATACACATATACACACATACATACACACATGTACATACACATTCATGCATACACAAATATACATACCTGCACAGATATATAAACGTGAACACAAGTGTACACGTACACACATACACAAACGTATAAACATGCACATACAATGTCATTGGATTCTAAAGCAAATATGTTCAGAAACATGCCTCCAGGCCCCCAGCGTGAGGCAAGACTCTTTCTTGGTTGTGAAAGTCTTAATGACTGGCTGGTTTTAACAATGTTGCAAATCAATGCAAAAATGTCCTAGCCTAGTGCAGCCTGTGAGATAAATTCTAAGACAACACTCGAGATTTAATTTGACCCTAACTACATTACTAATTTTATAGTCACTTAAGCAAAGAAACGCTTCAAAACATCCTTGGAAAATGGTCTAATCTCGTTTTTCAATTGACTGCTTGAGATCTGGATGTGGAGGCTTGGATGTTGCTCTCTGGCGCTGAGCTTGCCAGCAGGGCCGGCAGAGATGAGGCTGTTTATCTTTTGTGTCTCCACCCCAGCATTTTAAACAGCAATGGAAGTGCTGTTCGCCGTGTGATCAGTTACCATGGTACATAACCTGGGGATCCTTTCTGATTTCAGGCTCTTATAAAATACAGGCACGGGGCTGCCAAGGAGGACAGTGATTTCAAATAAATCCTTTAGTTCTGGGGAATTGTTTGAAATCAGGCAGAACAATACAAGTTTCATTTTGTGTCTTTTGCACTTCAATTGACAAGAAATAATAGTGTTTAATTCAGAGCCAATCTCATGGCAATGTTACTACTGATTTGAATGCTGTAGTTTTTGTGCCCCCCTCATGGAAGAGCAACCACGAGAACACACGGAACAACCCAGACCAGAACAGCTAACCCAGGTGGGCTAGCTGCAGGCTGCAGACACAGGACTGAAATACATTTATGTTGCATGCTCTGTTGATATATGAAGACATAGCTTCCGCCTCACAGTAAGAGAGTTTATTCTGCAGGCAGATATGAGTGGCCGTGTAATAGTCTCATAGCAACAGAGCAAAGAGAGCTATGAGCCCTTTCAAATACAATGGTGGGCACCTCAGCTACAGCAATGGGAAAGTCTCCACTGTAGGCCCTGTATGCTATTTTATGACATTCTTAGCCTTTGTGTGGGTGGAATTGAGGTGTCTGTTACACAGTTCTAGAAGGGCTTACCTGGTACTCACTGAGATGTTAAGTTCCAAAGAGAAGTAGGCAATAAGTGCTCTTTAAAAAGTAAAGACAGCAGAAGATAAATTATCAGTAGGCTCTGGACCTGCAAAGTTCCTCTCTGGCCATAATCACTGACATTCAAATTCATCCGTCAGCCTTGTAGAATGTTAATGTAGATGTCACTTCTTTGGGGGCACTTCCGTGCACACTGCTGAGGTGGAGCGTTCCTTACTTAGTGTTATGCGATTGCTGCTAATTAGTTGGGAGTTAATTGCTGGTACATTGACTCATGTTATTTAATCAGAGTCAGTCTGTCCAGAGTCTTCCTCCCACCTTAGCGACTGGTCCAAAGATGATCCAATCACTGCAGCACAAAGGACACAGAAAGAAGAGCCAGCTTTGCCTTGGAGCTGTTCTTGTCCATGTGAGACTCCAATAAGAGAAGAATGGACTCAATAAGCCTGACCGAATAATTCTAAATCCTGTGTACCTCTGAGAGTCTCTGGTATGAACTTAATAAAAAGTTGAAATAGATCCTTGTATTCTTTCTAAGTAATACACGCCCATCACCAAATGGAAATGTATCTGCAGTTCCAAAATGGTATCTGCCTGTCTACACTCCTGAGAGGAGGGAGGCCCACAGTGTCCTATTGTGGCATTTATAATAAAGGAAGATAGCCTCACTTAAGTAAAAACAGTTTTTCCTTCACATTTGAAGTTGAATGCAGCTCCTGAATTTGCCACTTAACTTGGACATTTGATTAAGGAATTCCAGGAATTTTGGCTGCCAGGAGCAAAGAAAGGGAGAGAGAATGGGAGAATGAGAAAGAGAGAGGAGCAAGAGGAGGAGGTGGAGGAGGAGGTGGTGGCAGCTATTACTGCCCTACATGTAATGAATGTAATGCCCTGAACAAGAATGGGCTCTGACATCTGCCTGAGTGACAGGGCACAACATCAGGGGTGTGAGCATCAAGAACCATCTTTAACACCTAGAAGCCAACAAACAGGCCAGCAGAAATTAAGCCTGTACTGGGCTACCCTTGAGAAGACAATTTCTCTTTCTTGTTCATCATTTTAAAAGAGCAGGCAAGGGTCTAAGGAGGTGGCTCAGTGGGCGAAACACTTAGCACACAGGAGTGAGGAGCTGAGTTCAGATCTCAGACCGCACCTAAGGACAGATACTGCACCATTTGCCTGTAAGCCCAGAGTTTCTGTTGAAGGATGGGTGACAGGGACCAAATGCTTGAAGCTGGTAGGCTAGCTAAATTAGTGGAGGTGGCAGTGAATGGGAGGCCCTGACCTGAATGGTTCAGGACAATTAGGCTTCAGGGATGCCCACGTGTGAGCTAAATACATGCTTATGCTTAGATTACATATTGTTCTATAGCATTATTGTGGTCATGGAATCGAGGGTGCCACTGTGCCTCCTTAGACATACCTAAATGTCACTGAGCCTCCTTAGACATATCTAAATGTCTTTCCTCCTCTCTTCCTCTCCTTCCTCCCTCTCTTCTTTCTCTTCCTGCTCTCTCATGCTTTCTCCCTTTCCTTGCTCCACCAATTGCAAAGAATGGATTCTACTTCTAGGTGAAGATGAGCCTTGTCCCCTGTTAAGGGTTAATCTGGTGGAGCAGGTCAGGGATCGCTAGGAAGGAGGACTCATGCAAGGTGGTGGTCAAGACAGAGTTTCTCTGTGTAACCCTGGCTGTCCTGGAACTCACTATGTAGACCAAGATGGCCTAGAACTCACAGAGACCTGACTGTCTCTGCTTCCTGAGTGCTGGGATTAAAAGTGTGCACCATGTACCTTGCTATGATAATTATTTTCTTTCCCATAATTTCTACCTTTCTGGTGCAGTCCCTAGGAGCTACCACGAGGATCAGCTGGGCCTGGGTCTAATTTTTTTCTTCTCTTCTTTTTCATTCAGATGCTGGCCAGAACCCAAGGAGGTTTTAGAGTCCCTAAGCAAGGCTTGGACTCCCTTATCCTTTTTCTAAACTCCCCTCCCCACTGTGTGGACACCCACACCTGGTGTCTGAATTCTAGGTTATCACTGAACAGTGTGGCTTTT